TCGATCCTCTGGGGAATGGGGAGCCAGTGGAGTCGGGCGAGGGTGGGAGTGATGGGGTCACGGAGCCTGGTGTGTGAAAGTACATGAGCTGCAGAGGTTTGGATGATCTGCAGCTTGTGAAGGGAAGAGTTGGGAAGGCCGATGAGGAAGGAGTTCCCGTAATTGAGCCTTGAGTGACATGCATAGGTGAGGGTTTCGGCAGCCTGAGGGGTGAGGCAGTGGTGGAGTCTGGCAAAATTGCGGAGGTGGTGGTAGACAGTGCCAGTCATGGCACGGATGTGAGGGAGAAAGGATAGTTCAGGGTCAAACAAGATACCCAGGTTACTGACTGGCTTAGTGAGGTTGAGTGTGCAGCCGTGGAGGCTGATGCTGCCAGTGCCTGAGGTGCGGAGGTGCTGGCGCGAGCCAATCAGGAGAGCCTCGGTCTTGCTGACGTTGAGCTGGAGAAAGTTGTCCCTTGTCCAGGACTTGATGTCGGACAAGCAGTCGGTCAGGACGCCAGTAATCCTGGAGTTCAGGGTGGAAGCAGAGCGGTAGAGTTGGGTGTCATCCGCATACATGTGGAAATTTAACCCATGTCTGCGGATGACGTCACCAAGGGGGAGCGTGTAGAGGGTGAAGAGGAGGGGACCGAGGATAGAGCCCTGAGGAACACCGCACAAGACAGTGAGGAGACTAGAGGAGAAACCGTTTGCCGCGATGAAGTGGAGGTGGTGTGAAAGGTAGGACCTGAACCAGTCAAGGACAGAACCTTGAAGGTTGAGGTGGGAGGAGAGGCGGTGGAGGAGGATTGAGTGGTCCATGGTGTCAAAGGCGGCGGAGAGGTCGAGGAGGACGAGGAGGCAGAGGGAGCCCTGGTCACATATGGTCAGGATATCGTTTGTGACCTTGACCAGAGCAGTTTCCGTGCTGTAGGCAGCACGGAAATCCAATTGGAGGGGTTCATGGAGGGAGTGGGAGGAGAGGAAAGAACAAAGCTGGGAGGCAACGGCTCTCTCAAGGACCTTGGATAGGAAGGGGAGATTTGAGATGGGCTGATAGCTGTGATGGGTCGAGGGAAGGTTTCTTCAAGGTGGGGGTGATAATGGCTGTTTTAAGGCTGCAGGGCTGTTTGTGGGAAGTTGTTGTGTGCAAATTAGCTGCCTCATTCACTCACTACACTTTACAATGAAATCCTGGGAAGCACTTTGAGACAAATCTACAGTGTGACAAGACGCTGAAACAAATGCAAGCTTAGAAAAACTCACTGACCACTCACCGTAGAAGCAATTCTCCCTCATCCACCCCCCCCCCCCCCCCCCCCCCCCACACACACCCAACAGTTAAAGGCTTTGATCAGGTCTCTTTTCAAAGTTTCTCTATCCAGTGAGAGCAGCCCCACATAGTCCAGTTTCATTTATAATAATCCTTGCATTTGATACAGTGCCATATCCCCAGAAAAGTGATCCACCAATCGACTAACAAGCAGGTTCCTACTTACTTCTCGGTAAACAGAAGCATTTGGAGTAAGGAAACTTGCCTCAGGATTCGCTCAACCAGGAATTGAACAAGGGTCCTCTCGCTTGCGAGGCAAGTGCTCTAACAACAACAACAAAATTACATTTATAGAACGCCTTTCACGCTGGGAGGACGTCCCAAAGCGCTGAAACTAATCACTAAACTACGGGACTAGAGCTGGCTACTGCTTTTGTGTAGTTAATGCAGCAACCAGAGGCTGACACTCCAGCCGAGTGCTGTGGAGAACAATGTATTGGAGAGCCTGGCTCTGACCTGTTAGCCCCCCATAGTGCCACTTGTTGAGTCTCCAGGTCCTAGTGACGGGCAGCCACATCTGGTCGATGACGTCCAAGATACTCCACAAGTTCCTGATGACACGTTGCAGCACCGAGGTGTAGTACATGTCAAACATGTAGCCAGCGTCTTGCAGCCCCTTAGCACTGAGGTCAGCGTCAAACCAGCCCAAGAAATGGTTCTTCCATCACCAACATATCAGCATGAAACACACCACCTGCTCCTTTGACCCCATCCCCATCCCTCTCCTTACTTCCCAGCTCAACCTCCTTGCCCCTCTATTCTCCGATCCCATCAATCTCTCTCTATTACCTGGCACCGTTCCCATCCCCCTAAAAACAGCTATAATCACCCCCATCCTGAAAAAACCTTCCCTGGACCCATCCCTGCCATCTAACTACCGGCCCATCTCCAACCTCCCTTTACTTTCCAAGTTCCTTGAAAGAATCGTTACGTTCCAGCTTTGCTCCTTCTTCTTCTCCTACCACTCCCTTCACGAGCCCCTCCAATTGGGTTTCCATGCTGCTCACAGCATAGAAACTACTCTGGTCAAGGACACAAACGACATTCCGTCCATCTGGAGTCCTGTAGCTCAGTGGTTAGAGCACTCACCTTGCAAGCGAGACACCTGGGTTCAATTCCAGGCAGGGCTAAACCTTGGGAAAGTTTCCTTACACCACACGCCTAATAATAATCCCTCCAAAACAAAAAAACAATAATAAATGGGTCATTTTTAATCCACGACTGTTTGTGGGACACTGCTGTGTACAATTGGCTGCTGCGTTTCGCCCACAAATATACGGTCAATTCACTTTACAGCATATTCTGTGAAGCGCTTTGAGACGTCAAGAAGACATGAAAAGCATTATATCAAATGCAAGGATTATTATTATTATTATCTGTGACCAGGGCTCCCTCTGCCTCCCCGTCCTCCTTGACCTCTCTGCTACCTTCGATACCGTGGACCACTCCATACTCCTCCACCGCCTCTCCTCTCACTTCAACCTTGAAGGTTCTGTCTATGAATGGTTCAGGTTTTATCTCTCATACCATTCCCAATTTGTATCTGTCAATGGTTTCACTTCCAGCCTGCGCAGTCTTGTGTGGTGTTCCTCAGGGTTCTGTCCTTGGTCCCCTCCTCTTCAACCTCTACATGCTCCCAGTTGGTGACATCATCCGCAGACATGGGGTCAACTTCTACATGCATGTGGATGGCAAACAACTCTACATCTCTGCCTCCACCCGCAATTCCAGGACCACTGGCGCCCTGACAGACTGTCTGTCAGACATCAAGTCCTGGATGATGGCCAACTTTAGCTGATTGTCAGCAAGATTGAGGCCCTCCAGATTGGCTCGCGCCTCAGGCACTGGCAGCATTAGCATCCATTGATGCACACACCACCTCACCAAGCCACTCAGGAACCTGGCGTCTTGTTCAGCCCTCAAATTCCTTTCTCCCCCATATCCCTGCCATGACCCGCTCTGCTTCCTCCCACCTCCGCAACATTTCCCGACTCCGCCCATGCCTCACCTCTCAGACTGCCGAAACCCTCATACACGCATTCGTCATATCAAGGTCCCACTACGGACACTGCCTCCTTGTCGGCCTCCCCAACTCTTCCCTCCACAAACTGAAGATCATCTAGAACTCTGCAGCTCGTGTCCTCTCCAGCACCAGGCTCCGTGACCCCATCACCCTCACCCACACTGGGTTCCATTGGCTCCCCATCCCCCAGAGGATAGAATTCAAAATCCTCATTCTCACTTTCAAGGCCCTCCATGGCCTTGCCCCCTTCTACATCTCCAATTTGCTAACCTCCTATCAACCTGTCCACTTCCTCCATTCAGCAGGCGCTAGCCTGCTCCATGTCTCCCGCCTGACCTGCCCTACTATCAGCAGCCGGGCTTTCAGCCTCTCTGTCCCACCCTTTGGAACTCCATCCCACAATCCCTTCACCTTGCTCCCTCCTTTGCAGCCTTCAAGAGACGACTCAAGATCCTCCTTTTCGACCGTGCCTTCTACTGCCCTCCTATCTCTCTGCCCTGCCTTATCCCAACCCTGCCCCCTGCCCACGCTCGGGTCCTGATCCCCGACTGTTCAGCGCCTTGGGACGTCCTCCCGACAATTTTGTTGTAGACAAGAGTGCATAAGCCTAATTAAATTCCATGCATAGGTTGGATGTATGGAATTCTCAGTTGGGTTTGGATACCCTTAAGCATGGTGGCAGGTTGCAGCATGTGTCGGACATCCAGCAGACCAAAATAAATTAGATTAAATTGAGCTGAATTGTAGCATTTCTATCTTAGCACGACCTTATGAGGAAGCTGGCAAAACTTTAGATAAAATGTTATGGAAAATGACTGTCTTGTGCCTTCTTGGTTCAGAAGTTAGAAGTGAATTGAACACAGCTGCAGCTCTCTTCAGCTGTTGATGTCACCCTTCTGCATTGTTTTAATCAGAATCAGCTGATGGGTACCATACAGTATTAAAACCAACATGAGTTAAGTCCTGCAGATCCACACCAATCATCTTGGTATTAGAAAAGGACCACGATAAACAGGGTATAGTCTCCAGATAAAATCGCTCATTCACGTCACGGCTGAGACATGTGAGAGATTGGCTGCGGTGTTCACTGACAAAACACACAGTCGTTGCACTTTACAGTAAAAANTCAATGAGGAGCTTTGAGATGTCCTCCTGATGAGAAAGGCATCGCATTGCATTGCCTTAAACACGAGGATTATTGTTATTATTACGGTATCTGAAAAGTGCTGCAAAGGTGAAGTGGGGGCAGAGTGCGCGGTGCCCATCCAGTGGTGGTTGTGCGGTATTGCACCGCCGCATATGTCGCTCAATTATAAGACAAAAGAACATTTCCGTCGAAATTTCTCAAGACGAGAGGTGGGGGACACGATGTTACACATCAAGAGAGGCCTCAACATCGTCTCATTGTTCCGCTTCCCTATAAGTTATCTACAAAGTAGGTGGTGGGTGGGGGGGGGGCAGTGGGATTTCCTTGCGCCATCCCCCAGGAGTAAAGCAATCCCACTGACCCGACCCTCCACAAAGGAGGGAATGGCGCGCTTCCTCCCGCCTCAGCCTCTGTTGTCATAGCGACTGACGATGGCCGTCGGGGGCGCCGCGACGAGCGGGGGGTTACGTTGCGCGCGCACACACACACGCACCCACGCGCGCGCGCGCGCCGGCTTGCTGGAAGCTTCTGCCGCGGTGCACTGTGGGATAGCCTGCAGGGGAGAGAGGGAGAGACGCCGCCGCCGAGATGATGGTGAGTGTGTGCGGCCGCTCGCAATCCGCCGCCATCTGCCCGGCCAGACGGCTTCATCCCGACCCCGCGGGCCCGGAGGCGGCCGCCGCGGGGCCAGGGTGCGGGTCACATCGATATAGGAGGCGCGGGTTGGGCCTTTGTGTATGTTTCGGGTGTTTTCTGCCCACACCCCACCCCCCACCCCACCCCGTGCGTGTTCTCAGGGGAGGGGGTCTGTCACCGAGGGACCAGAGGTGGGTGTGTGTCGGGGGAGGAGGGGCTATATCAGGGGTCGGGCAGGCGGTGGCTACTCAGGATCCGGGAAAAAAAACTTCTCTTAACTCGGGGGAAGGATCTTTTTAACACCGTCTTTAACACCGGCACCGGGAGGGCCGCGGGTTTAACGTCTCATCTGAAGCAAAGGCGTCTCCGACAATGCTGCTCCCCCCCCCCCCCCCCGTCATGCCCTGGAGCAGCATCCAGCACCGTGAGCTCCGACTCCACAATGTCGACAACAACAACAAAATTACATTTGTATATCGCGCCTTTCATGTCGGGAGGACAGGCGCTGGTCTATCAGATTCTCAGACCCGAGCCTGGGGTCGGGATTAGGGAGGCTGGAGGGGGGGGGGGGAGGAGGGTGATCGGAGACATAAGAACATAAGAATTAGGAGCAGGAGGAGGCCATTCGGCCCCTCGAGCCTGCCCCGCCATTCGATAAGATCATGGCTGATCTTCAGACCTAACTCTAATTACCTGCACTATCCCCATATCCCCTAATCCCTCTGTGTTTTAAAAATCTATCAGTCTCAGCCTTGAAGATGTTCAAGGACTGAGCATCTACAGCCTTCTGGGGTAGTGAATTCCATAAATTCACTATCCTCGGAGTGTAGAAATGTTTCCTCAACTCTGTTCTAAAAGGCTGACCCTTAATTTTAAGACTGTGACCCCTGTTTATAGATTCTCCATCCAGGGGAAACAGACCCTCTGTGTCTACTTTATCAGCCCTTTAAGAATCTTATAAGTTTCAATAAGATCTCCCCTAATTCTTCTGTCCTCTAGAGGATATAGCCCTAGTTTATTCAGCCTATCTTCATGGGTCAGTCCCCTCATCCCAGGAACTAACCGAGTGAATCTACGCTGCACCCCCTCTAGGGCAAGTATGTCCTTTTTAAATAAGGAGACCAAAACTGCACACAATACTCTAGGTGCGGTCTCACCAAGGCCCTATACAGTTGCAGCAAGACTTCCCTACTCTTGTACTCTAAACCTTTTGCAATGAACGCTAACATGCCGTTCGCCTTCTTAGTTGCTTGCTGCACCTGCAAACTAACTTTTTGAGACTGGTGTACAAGGACACCCAAATCCCTCTGAACACTAACACTATCTAAGCTCTCCCCCTCTAGAAAATAATCTGTTTTTCTATTTTTTCTACCTAGGTGAATAACTTCACACTTCCCCACATTAAATTCCATCTGCCACCTACTCGCCCACTCCCCTAGCCTATCTATATCCCATTGCAATCTTTTTGCATCATCCTCAGAGCTTACTCTCCCACCTAGTTTAGTGTCATCCGCGAATTTAGATACGTTACATTCAATGTCCTCGTCTAGATCAATGATGTAAATTGTAAATAGCAGAGGCCCAAGCACTGATCCTTGTGACACTTCAATAGTCACATCCTGCCAATTTGAGAATGACCCGTTTATCCCTACTCTCTGTTTTCTACCCGTTAGCCACTCTTCAATCCATGCTAATATGTTCCCATTAATCCCGTGGGCCTTAACCTTGTGCAATAGCCTTTGACACAGTCAAAGAGAAGGGTGTTGAGATGGGTCTTGAAGGAGGCAAGGGAGTGGGCGAAGCGGAGGGATTGTGGGATGGAGTTGCAGAGGGTGATGGCGGAAGCCCACCCGCTAATGGTGGGAAGGGCGAGGCAGAGGATGTGAAGCAGGCCGGAGCCCGCTGAAGGGAGGGAGCAGGCAGGATAGTAGGGGGTTAGGAGGTCTCAGAGGTAGGGAGGAGCAAGGCCATGGAGAGCTTTGAAGGTGAGGGTCAGGATATTGAACTGTATTTTCTGTGTGATGGAAAGCCGGTGGAGTTGGGTGTGGATGGGGTTGATAGGGTCACAGAGCCTGGAGCGGGAGAGGAGTGTGAACACAGCAATAACAACAACCTTCTAACACAGTGGAGACAGGGCTATGGCTGAGCTAGGATTACCCACTTCTCAGCCAAATGGTGCTTTGCTGTCTGAGTTGGTGTTGGATCTAAATGGTGTTCTGTGTTGAAAAATTTATCTGATCTTAACATTTTTTCACACAGAGTGTAGTGGAAATCTGGAACTCTTTCCCCAAAAAGGCTGTGGATGTTGGAACCATTCAAATTTTTAAGACTGCGGTGGATAGATTTTTATTTGGTCAGGCTATCAAAGTATATGGGGTTAAGGCGGGTAAACGGAGTTGAGGTACAGATCAGCCATGATCTAATAGAATGATAAACAGACTCAAGGGGCTGAATAATAATAAATAATAATCCTTGCATTTGATAAAGCGCTTTTCACGTGTTCTCGACATCTCAAAGCGCTTCACAGAATAGACTGTAAAGTGAATTGACTGTATATTTGTGGGTGAAACGCGGCAGCCAATTGTGCACAGCAGTGCCCCACAAACAGTCGTGGATTGAAAATGACCAATTTATTATTGCTTTGTTTTGGAGGGATTATTATTAGGTGTGTGGAGTAAGGAAACTTGCCCAAGGTTTCGTCCTGCCTGGAATTGAACCCAGGTGTCTCGCTTGCAAAGCGAGTGCTCTAACCACTGAGCTACAGGATTCCAGTGTAGGCCTACTCCTGTTCATATATGTATATATATGTAATGAGTTGTGAAGGCTGGTTTCACAACATTTTTTGCCCAGCCAGCTGGCTCACTCCCTGGCCAGTTCCCGTGCTAAGAAAAATCATCGACCTCTGAGTGGTCAGGTTCCTCTTGATGTTGTCTCCTCAGTGCCGTCCATGTGAAAGCAGGGAGTGATGTCAGTGGTGACCTGATACGTGTGGATTTAGCATTTCTTTGTAGCATGCAAAGCTAAAATGTCCAAATTCGGTCATCATCTCTGCCAACATCGCTTTGCTTGTCGGTGGTGTACTGACAGAGTAAGAAGTGACATAATGACCCGGAAGTCGGCCATTGAGCATGAGTCAGGCACCTGCGAGCATGAGCTGTGAATGGGGTTCACATTGCAATTGCGTTATAACCAAAATTTGCGCTATAAAGAGCGTTATAATGCCATCATCAGTGTATGTTGCAGCTTTCTTAGGGGTGGCCTTCGAGCCAGACATTGGTTATGACCTGAGAAGTTAGTAAGATAGTTTATAATGTACACCACAACTCAACACTGGCCTTTTGTTTTTATTTTAAAAAAAGGTTATTTTCTCTCCTCTCCCGAAGACATTGGACTCTTACCTTCTGCCCAGTGCCCTCCTTGGTCAAGTTGTGATTGATTGTTCACTAATAACTTTTGATAGGCTAATTGCCCAATAGGGCTATCCCAGTTGATCCTGATCCGGTGCTACCCCTCTCTGCACACTCACCTGCAGCAAGGCCCTCTGGTTAATCATTCGGAGCAGTAACCCATTCTGATTTTTCAACTGGTGAGAAAATATCTGAAACTTTGGGAAAAAGTCAACAAGAAATCTACCTGAGAGTTTGCTCTGGTATTACGTGCAGTCACAGACACTGGGAAAAAAAATCAGTGAATTCAAATTTAAAAAATTAAATTCAGATGAAAATGAGCTTATTTTCCCCTATTGACTTTCATGGGGAGAAAAAACCCTGGTTTATATTGTGAAACTGGCTGCATTATTCCTAAAAACTGTCCCGCAAAAAGAAACTTGCATTTTCCTCACATCAAAATGTCTCCCAAGTGCTTCACAGAAACTACTACACAGTTAAAGTGTGTGTGTGGGGTGGGGGGGGAAGAGAATGCTCTCTTACTTTGGTCCTGCCTTTAAGTCTCTTCCTCTTGGTTTAACTGTGATCTTTCTCCACATTGTATCCATTGGTACTGGCATCATCAACAACAGGATTTAACTTAATTTATATAGCACCTGTCACACAAGGTAGCATTTCAGAGCATTTTGACGGTGGTGGAGCACAGTCGAAGAGGAAGGTCTTCAGGCATGACCTGAAGATGGTGAGGGAGGGGACAAGTTGGAAGGGGTTGAGGAAGAGAGTTCCAGAGCTTCGGGGTGTAGTGGCAGAAAGCATGGCCACCGGTGGTTGAATGGAGGGACGAGCAGATATAACCATCTTCACCTCTCTTATTTCCAGCCCACACCAGTTATCCTCCTTAAGGAGGGCACAGACTCTTCCCAGGGAGTTCCTCAGCTCGTCAGTAACATCAATGCCTGCCAGGTCATTGCAGAGGCCGTTCGCACCACGCTGGGGCCCCGTGGCATGGACAAGCTTATTGTGGACGACCGAGGTAAGAGCAATGATCTTGGCTCTCTGAGGAGAATAGGAAGATCCCACAGGAGAAGGCCTCGGAAGGAAGGAGCTAAAATTTGATTTTGGTGCAGCGAAGAGTATTAAGGGCAATGTATTGACGGGGGGAACATTTATAGGAGCCAATGCCAATACAATAAGGCGAGGGTTGTAATAGAGGGATTAGAGTCTGAGGGGTCAGGCGTTAAACATGAAGGATGATCCCAACCTAGCTGGTTTTCTTATAGCACTGCTCTCCTGATCCGTGGTTAACAGAACTGCTAGCTTCTTGCAAGCACAAAGAATGGCTGTCTTCTGGGTCATCAGGTCACTTGTGTAATAATAATCCTTGCATTGGATATAGTGCCTCATTAAGATGTCTCAAAGCGCTCACAGAATATATTGTAAAGTAGATTGACTGCATTTTGTTGTCGAAACCCGGTAGCCAATTGCACTGAGCAGTGTCCCAAACAGTCGTGGATTGAGTGACCAATATGTTTTTTGGATGGATCATTACTCCTGGAAAGTAGTCCGTCAATCGACTAACAACCAGGTTCCTACTTACTATTAGGTAAACACAGGCGCTTCACTGTACTGTGAAGGATTTTGAGACATTTTGATGTGACGTGTTACACAAATGTTTTAATGCTATTGGAATCTCCCTGGATGTCTTGCTGGTCCTATAACTGTAATGATGTGCTATACTTTCAGGGAAAGCCACGATTTCAAATGATGGCGCCACCATCTTGAAGCTTCTGGATGTGGTTCACCCTGCTGCAAAGACTCTTGTGGACATCGCAAAATCTCAGGACGCTGAGGTAATTTATTAAAGATACTTTATATTAACTCTCAAATAAATAATGTTGACCCTCTGGAGATCTTGAAAGCAAAGCTCCTAAACTACACGAGCCTGCAGGAGTCCAGGGCTCTGCTGATGACAGACTAGCCTGCCCGGCCTGTAAGCATCCAGCCAGGCACCACCTCACCTCTATTTCTTAAGTAGCCTATTTCGCCCTACAATTGTAGGAGTGTACAGGAAGAAGCTAGATACACACTATAGCCACTCTTCACTGGAGCTCTCTATTCTAATCCCATTCCCTGCTCTCTCTTCATCGTATCTGTGCTGGTGCTTGCTCCCCCACTGGAGCTCTCTAATCCCATTCCCTGCTGTCCTCATCGTGTTTGTGCTGGTGCTCACACCCCCACTGGAGCTCACTAATTCCTATGCTCCGCCTTCCTCTGTCCCCTTTTGTATCTTCATCCTTCATATGTTTGTCAAATTCTGTTATCATATAGGAATTGACAACAATACACTAGATACCTGCTAATAAAAGTAACTAATGGTACTGCAATCATTGAGAGGCTGAATGTCATCTGGGCTGGAAAGGTTGAATCTCATTAAACAGTTTGGTGGTTTAATTTCAGGTGGGCGACGGGACCACTTCTGTTACATTGTTGGCTGCAGAGTTCCTGAGACAGATCAAATCGTATGTGGATGAGGGGCTTCACCCCCAGATCATCATTCGATCGTTCCGCACCGCGACTCAGCTGGTAAGTGAAGGGGTGTGAGGGAGGATGGGGCTCTAGGTCTGTGGTGCTGTAAAAATGAACTCCCTTCTCTTTGCCAATAGTGTTGTGTGGTCTTTAACTTCCACCTCAACAGGCAGTCAGACCTTGGTTTAATATCTCATTTGAAGATTAGAGTCTCGATCAATGCATTGCTCTCCCCCACCCCCAACACTGCACTGGAGTGTCAGTCTAGACTGTGAGCTCAAAATCTCCAGAGTGGGATTGAACCCACAACCTTCTGACAGGGAGGTGAAAGGCTTACAACTAAGCTAGGCTGAGACCTGTCAGATGTCAAGTTTAGAAATGTCACTAAGTCGTCACAAGACTAGTAAGATTGAGGGCAATCTCCATGCCCCTGTCAGGGTGAGGCTTTTTTTTAAGCGAAAAAAGCAAGCAGATGTGTAATATTTTGTTTCTCTTGAACAGGCTGTGGAAAAGATCAAAGCAATCGCTGTCACTGTAAAGACAGACAACCTGGAGTGAGTACAAACCTTTGCAGCTTGGCACCAGTGTCTGAGCAAATACAAGGAATATTTTTTGTAGCACATAGCGGCTAGGACACTGAGACAGGATGGGGGTTGCTACTCGGTGTTTGAGGAAAGGATCCTCTGTTTGAGAAAGCAGTTAGACCGAGTGCAGTGGGGTAGGAGCCATGGGTGCTTTTTCCTGTGTTATTCAGCACATTTGTACTGGCATCATAGGTGTGCTGCTCTTTGAAAGAGTATTTCATTTAATCCATTCACCAGCCTCTTCCCACCGCCCCCACCCCCATACAACAGCAACAACCACAACAAATTGCATTTATAATGCGCTTTCATGTCGGGAGGATGTCCAATACCCCTGCAAATGACTCCTTTTTATCTGGATCTCTCTTGAAAACTAGTATGGATTTTGCCTCAATCACTGTATATCTGGCAGGGTATTCCATGTACCAACACCTCTGTAAAAATAAAAATCCTCCCAATCTCCCACTCTGCTCCCTTGTAAATTATTTTATATTGATGGCCTCTGGTCACTAACTCAAAACAAATTACATTTATGTAGTGCCTTTCATGTCGGGAGGACATTCCAAGATGCTGAACAGTCAGGGATTTGGACCTGAGCTGGGGATTGGGACCGGGAGGGGTGGAGGGCAACTCACCAACGAATGAGAATAATTTTTCCCCACCCATCTACTCAATTAAAATGCTTCGTAATTTTAAAGACCTCTATTGGGGTCCCCTCAACCCTTGAAAATAGGTCCAGTTGTTCTAATTGTTCATATATGATTGTTCTAACGACTCTTCCCTGGTATCATCCTAGTAAATCCCCTCTGCACTCTCTCTGGTCCTGACATTTATCTTAAAGTTGTTTAGGATCTTAACGAATCCTAAACTTGTTTAGGATGTTGTCAAATGACTTCCCAGTGGTCAAAGCATTTCTGCTCAGTGCCTGTCTGAGCCGACCCCATCATCCTGATTGAATTATCATAGAAGTTGCTAAATAGGATAAAGTAAATCCATAACATTGCTTTCACGTAAGCTGAGGACACAGGATTCCGAAGTGTGCAAGGCAGGTTTAGGTCAGACACTAGGAACTATTTGAATACACAAAGGGAAGCAGCAGCTGGGATATATAGTATAGGAACTTGAGCAGGCTATTCATCCTAACGGATAGGCTTCTCGGGAAGGTTGCAAGTGGACAGCAGGCTGGGACAATTAAGAAACACTTTGACTCTGTAACAGTAGGGTGGGCATTTCTTATGCAAGTGAGCATAATATATGACTGAGAGTCTGCAAGGCTTCCTCTTGGAAAACATTTAAACCCTTTAATGCATTATGGTAATAAATCCTATATTTGATACAGTACAGTACCTTTCTTGTTGGGAGGACACCTCAAAGCGCTTCACAGGATATATTACAAAGTGCAGTGACTGTATTTCGTAGGCAGACTTGGCAGCTATTTTGTGCTCAGCAATGTGGTGTGGTCTGAATGCTTGCCTTCTCCCTGCAGAAAGCAGAAGGAGCTTTTGGAGAAGTGTGCGATCACAGCCCTGAGCTCCAAACTGATTGCTATGCAGAAAAACTTCTTCGGCAAGATGGTGGTGGACGCTGTCATGATGCTCGATGACCTGCTGCCTCTGAAGATGATCGGCATCAAGAAAGTGCAAGGAGGTGCACTGGAGGTAGGAATCCTGTAGCTTAGAGGTTAGCGCACTCGCATCACAAGCGAGAGGATCTGGGTTTGATTCCGGGCAGGGCGATACGTTGGGCAAGTTTCCTTATTCCACACGCCTCTGTTTACCTAGCAGTAAATAGCTACCCGGTTGTTAGTCGATTGGCAGATTGCTTTTCCAGGGATAATAATCCCTTAAAAAATGTTTTTCTTTTTCCACGACTTGTTTGTGAGACACTGCTGTGTGCAATTTGCTGCTGCGTTTTGCCCACAAAATATACCGTCAATTCACTTTACAGTGAAGCACCTTGAGACGTCTCGAAAACATAAGGTGCTATATCAAATGCAAAGATTATTGTATCGTAACGCAGGACAGGAGGAGGCTACCACCATCCTGGCAGTAGCATATCAGGTCGCAAACTATACATTGTATCTTGAGGTATTCTTTCCTAACAGAAATCTATCTAATTTAATAAGAACATTAGATAGATTTCTGCCTTTCCCCCCTTAATTCTCACATATTTCTTCTCCCCTTTAAACAGGTCAGTATAAAACATCCGAAACCTCAATTCCACCTATTCTTATAAGACCATTTTAGCTTCAAACTTAATATCAAGTAAACTCGTACTGTTGCTGAGCACACAATTAACAATCACTGATACTCCAGTCCAACTTCACCACTACAATGAGCTCAGATACAGTTATGTGGAGTGTATTTAAGCAGTATTCTACTCTAGTTACTCCAATTTATGGAGCTGATCTCGCCTCTCATATTTCACACTCTTCACGTTGATTGCAGGATTCCATGCTCATTGCTGGTGTTGCCTTCAAGAAGACTTTCTCCTACGCTGGCTTTGAAATGCAGCCCAAGAAGTACGAGAATCCCAAGATATCCCTGCTCAACGTGGAGTTAGAGCTCAAAGCCGAAAAGGACAACGCAGAGGTCCGAGTCAATAACGTGGAGGTCAGTGCTGATGTCCTTGCTATTATTGGAACTTTCTTAGGAATATCGAAAGGCCCATTGCAGTCATCAGTCAGAACCCATTCTAACACAGTGGTTGGGAAGTTCATAAAATTACTGGTTGCATTATAAACCAGTCGCCAGTCAATGCTTCTGTCAGGTCACCGCTGACTTCGCTTGGGAAACCATCCAGTCAGCAGTGAGCACACTCGTGACTGTTCCCAGCAGTTGCTGGGACACCATGACACTGGGATACCTGTCCCACTATTGTGTTAAAGTGCTTTGAGACGACTTGGCACAATATAAATATAAATTATGTTATAAATTGTGAGGACCTAAGCTGGTGGTCTGAGCTGACAGGTTGAGCCACAGCCTGTGGGGGGAGAGGGTGAGCACTGAGGCAGGCTGCTGACCAGAATGTTGTGTCTTGTTTGTAGGAGTACCAGGCAATTGTTGACGCCGAGTGGAGCATCCTGTATGATAAGCTGGAGAAGATCCATTTGTCTGGAGCCAAGGTGGTTCTGTCCAAGCTTCCCATCGGCGATGTGGCAACTCAGTACTTTGCTGACAGGGACCTGTTCTGTGCCGGCCGCGTCCCCGAGGAGGATCTCAAGAGGACCATGATGGTCAGTCAGGGTCATGGGGAATGGTGGGCAGGGCTCAGTCACCCAGTCAGTGGGGAAAAGTCCACACTTAGCTTTCATTAACTGCTCTCTTTTTACCACCATCCCGCCCCCCCCCCCCACTTCACTTAGTGCAGTTTCCTTATTCCACATGCCTGTGTTTAGCTCGCAGTAAGTAGGAAACCAGTTGTTAGTCAATTCGCGGATCGCATTCTTGGTGTAATAATCCCTCCAAAAAATAATAATAATTTGATAACGCAATCCACGACTCTTTGTGAGTCACTGCTATGCGCAACTGACTGCTGTGTTTTGCCACAAAATATATAGTCAATTCACTTTACAGTAAATTCTGTGAAGCACTTTGAGACGTCTCAACGACATAAGGCATTATATCAATATCAAGTGCAAGGATTATTATATTTTATCTATGATCAGCACCTTCTCAAGCAGGGGAAGGGTATTGGGGGATGGAGAATACCAGCAGGGATTTTGGCATTAGAGAGAATAATTTCTTGGAGCAGCAAATACAGAAAACTGGACCAGTTGGCCTGCTATTGTGTCATACATTCCTATGGTTCTGTAGCTGGCACACTGATACGTGCACTGGGTTTGGAAGTGACGTTTTGAGCTTGATGTCTCAGCGAGGACTTTAAAGAGAGAACATGTGCAGGCTAAATGTGATTGAGAGAGGAACCCAGAACAAACCTGAGATAACCAGCAGGATAAGAGGGCACATGTTCAAGCAAGCGAAGGGCAATTTGGGTGATATAAATTCTTTATAGAGACGAGAAATTATGTCTGGAATAAGAGTTGGTTGAGACCGGGGTACATTTAAAACACCGATCAATGTTGTAGTAGGATGAGGAGCGGTTGGTTATTCTGGAAAGCTAACAATAAATGACCTTGTATATTGTATCTTATCACATATTTGAATGGTTCACAGTGCTATATAGGGTTTATTTTTTGTAAAGTAAGCAAATGTGGCAGTTAACCTGCAAACAGTCATAAAGTGAGTGACCAACTTTATCTGGGAAAGCAATGTAGAATCCTGCCTGATATCGTGTAGAACATTCTGGTGTCTGGATAAGCATCTGACCAGTAATAATAAGGAGAAGAGCTGTAGAGTGGGATCAATAATAAATGGTAATGTAATAGCACAGACATGATGGGCTAAATGGCCTGCACTGGAAATTTCTGCCCTGTTACATGTGAACATATGTTCTGGCCGACAATCCTCCAGATACAAACTGGTTATTTGCTGTGCACAGATTCACTGCCACGTTTGCTACAAAATACAGTCACTACTACACTTTATAGTAATTGCTGTTAAGAGCTTTTTGATGTTTCAACGATGTGATAATAGTTGTATCAAGGGCGTTGCATTTACCAATCTGTTTTTCCGTTAGAAGCTCCAGAGAAAGTTTGTGAACTGATCATTGGCTAGTTTCTCCTTCAGATGAATGGCAGAGTGTTGTATTGGTTCTCAGTGCTCACTGTTTGCACTGTCTCTTGCCCTGTAGGCTTGTGGTGGCTCCATTCAGACCAGCGTCAATGCCCTGACAGAGGAGGTGCTGGGAGAGTGTGCCGTGTTTGAGGAGGTGCAGGTCGGGGGTGAAAGGTACGTCTCACATTGGGTCCTCATCTCCCTTTGTGGCTGTTTGTGTTTTAGTTGTAATCTATGTGTGGTGTAGATATTGCTCTCTCATTCTGTCTCAGTTTTGCTACCCTTTGGAGATTCCTGAACTCTGTGTTACCCACAAATATATTTTTGGCAATCTGTTTACACAAATAGTGTGCTTTAGGTCATGTCACGCGGTGGAGCAGAGCTGGCAAACTGGCAAACACTGAGCATTAAGGGAAAGTTAATTTCCTTTGTGGAGCTGTTAAAGCAGATCTAATCAATCTGACTTTAATGCTACCTCCAGCGCCTTGGGATGCCCTCCTGATGTGAAAGGCGCTCTATAAATGTAATTTTGTTGTTGATTGAACTCTTCCTGGGATAATTTCCCCCCTGAAATCTGCAGCATTTTCCTGTGGACGTCAGTGCCAGTCTATCTCAGTTAGCATTTTTCTCACCTCCCAAGTCAGACAGAAGGTTGTGGATTCAAGCCTTACAGTCCAGTCTGACTCTCTAAAGCAGTGCTCAGCGAGTGCTGCATTATCTGAGATGCTATCCTTTGAATGAGATGTTGGAGCAATGTGCCATCTGTCTGTTCAGGTGTACATTAAAGATCCTGTGACACTATTGGGAGTTCCTTCTAGTGTCCTGGCCAACAATCTTTAAGATAGGAACAAAAACAAGTCGCTGGGAACATTCAGCAGGTCAGGCAGCATCTATGGAGAAAGGAAAGTGAGTCAACGTTTCATGTCCACGACCCTTTGTCAGAACTGGGGCATGTTAATAATAATAATAATAATCCTTGCATTTGATATAGCGCTTTTCACGTCGGGAGGACGTCCCAAAGCGCTTCACAGAACACACTGTAAAGTGAATTGACTGTATATTTGTGGGCGAACGCAGCAGCCAATTTCACACAGCAATGTCCCACAAACAGTCGTAGATTGAAAATGACCAATTTATTATTGTTTTGGGTTTTGGAGGGATTATTATTAGGTGTGTGGAGTAAGGAAACTTGCCCAAGGTTTCGCCCTCTGCCTGGAATTGAACTCAGGTCTCTCACTTGCAAAGCGAGTGCTCTAACCACTGAGCTACAGGACTCCACGATTTGGGAGGGAGAAGCTTGTTTTGTTGCAACCCCCCTCCCTTTTGTTTTGCATCATTAACACCTCTTTAATCCATCATCCCCTGTTCTCTACCCCATTTTCTCCTTTGTCTTCCTATCCTGCCTCCCCGCTCTCTGTTAGGCCTTAAAAGCATCTGCAGTATTTTGCGTATTGTGTAATCTTTAAGATGAATTGGTTGTTACCTTATGACTGTCTCTGGGACCTCATACAATCTGTTTCTGTCGTGTTTGCTTACAAATGTACAGTCCCTTTATATTTTGCTTTATTATATATTAAAAATATATTAAATGAAGATATATTAAACAAAGGAATATTATAAAAGGTTAAGAATCGACAGATAGACATGCTGGGAACAACAGCAAATTACATTTATATAGCACCTTTCACGTCGGGAGGATGTCCCACTGCGCTGGACATTCAGAGATGTGCACCCGAACTGGAGGTTCGGATCTGTAGGGGTGGAGGTTAGGGGTAGGAGGATGACTGACTTGAGGAAGGTCTTGATACAGATGCGAGGGAGGGAGGGAGGCGAAGGGACTGTGGGATGGAATTCCAAAGGGTGGGGGCAGAGAGGCTGAAGGCTAATTTGACAGATAGACGGACCCCCATTTGGGAATGAAGAGGACAATCAACGGGGAACCATATTTTGTTTGGAATTCAAACTGGTCATGCAAAATCATGTGATTTCTCGTCTTATTAGGTACAACTTGTTCAAAGGCTGCCCCAAGGCAAGGACTTGCACCATCATTCTCCGCGGTGGGGCCGAGCAGTTCATGGAAGAGACAGAGCGCTCCCTTCACGATGCCATCATGATTGTCAGACGAGCTATTAAGGTGGGTGCCAGGGACTGAGCCAATGCTGGGGAGTTACTGTGGCTGCTGTGTCTAACCTTCTTCCTCCTCTATACTCACCACTTCCTGTTATGAGTGTTTGATGTTTCAGTCATTAAAGCTGCTGCAGCAATGAGGCGAGCGAGCATTGCCATTTGGAAGCTGTTTTCGGTGGCCTCTGGCAGCCCAGGCAGTCCCTGTTCTCTGGGCACGGGGCAGTGCTCGCTGCCATGTCACTCAGTTACAAGTGTAATGTACTCAACATGGATGTTTTCAAAAGGATTTGCTGATATGCCTGATTTATTGGTCAGATATATTGTACATTCTATTGTGAGGCTTCGCTAAACAACCTGACCCAGAAAGTTTCTGGTTATATTCAGGCTGTTTTTATGTACAAGTTGAACTATTGTCGGATAATTCTGTACCCGTCCTTCAGGTTAATGATGCCACGCTGTGCTTGGGTTTAGAGAGAGCATTTCAAAGTGGATTAAAGGGGAGGTTAGAGACTATGTCTTTACATAGAGGGCAGTGAGAGGTAGAATTTCCCTCAAAACCAGAGTTGGGACAGTGCATCCTTTCTACTTAGCGCACCGAGACATTGCCTCGCATGAAGGGCTATAAAAATGCAGGTTGTTGTTAAAAGGGAATGACAAATATTAGGATAGGGTGTGTATGTCTGTCGGAGGTGGGAGGGTGGAAAGGGTCTGTGCAGACTGGATGGCCTGCAGGCTTGTTTTTGTACCAGTGATGGACGTATGAGTGTGTAAAGTGTTTGCTGGCCTTCTGCAGAATGACTCAGTTGTTGCTGGCGGTGGAGCGATCGAGATGGAGCTTTCCAAGTACCTGCGGGATTATTCCAGGACCATCCCCGGCAAGCAGCAGCTGCTGATTGGAGCCTACGCCAAGGCTCTGGAGATCATCCCACGCCAGCTGTGTGACAATGCTGGCTTTGATGCCACCAATATCCTCAACAAGCTACGGGCCAAACATGCCCAGGTAAGGGGGGGCCACACACACAGGTAAGGGGGGGGTGGGGGCACACACACAGGTAAGGGGTAGGGGCACACACACAGGTAAGGGGGGGGCACACACACAGGTAAGGGGGGGCACACACACAGGTAAGGCGGGGGGCACACATACAGGTAAGGCGGGGGGCACACACACAGGTAAAGGGGGGGGCCACACATGCACACAGATAAAGTGGGGGACCACACACACACAGATAAAGGGGTGGGTGTCACGCGCACACGCACACATACATAGGTGAGGGGGGGCATACACACACACACACACACATGCAGGGAAGGTGGGAGGGCCACACGCACGTGCACACACACAGGTGGGGAGAGGTGGGGGGTGCACACGCACACAAGTGAAAGTGGGGGCCATATGCACACAGACACTCCACGCTGCAGCCTCACCCCTGATCCACTCCTCAATTATCCTTTGATAAAACCAAAAGGGTTTATTCCTCAAGAGTGAATTAGTGGAGTCCTGTAGTGTAGTGGTTAGTGCGCTCGCCTCACAAGTGAGAACCGGAGTTCAGTTCGCAGAAAGGGTGAAACCTTGGGCATGTTTCCTTAATCCACATGCCTCTGTTTACCTAGCGGTAAATGAGAACCCAGTTGTGAGTCTCGGCGGATGGCTTTTACGGGAGTAATACTCACTTGAAAAAAAAGTGTGGTCACTCAATCCACAACAAAATATCGTCAATCCACTTTACAATATATTCTGTGAAGCACTTTGATACATCTCAACGATGTGATAATGCACTATATCAAATGTAAGGATTATTATTATTATTGTTTTAACGCCTGACATTTCCTGGTTTATGCCCTACTCAGGCTGATCAAAGCCTTCCCTCTGGACTATTATACACAAGCCAGTCTCTCGTGCCCTCTGTCCCACCATCGGTAGCCAAGCTTTCAGCCACCATACCCTGCTCTCTGCTACTGTATATATCTGTCTCTCTCACACCTGCTCTCTAACTCACTGTCTCCCACCTTCTCCCTAAATCCCTCTGTCTTCCTTCTCCCTGTAAATTATCCGACATGGAACGTGTGGACAAGTTGTGCAGAAGATTGTGGGACCTGTTCCTCCGTGCTCACTGCAGGCTATTGCAGATTGTAATTCACAGCTGAATGAGAATACATCATAACAGCCATTATACAACACATGTCAGTACTGGAGCTGCAGTTAGTGTAGGCTGGAAACCTGTCCTGGCTGGGTGTTGGGAGGAGGAGAGTTGGTTTATGATGCCCACTGTAATATCAGCGTGGGGGGAGATGGTGGTGGGGGGAATTCATGTATTTGATACAGCACGCTTCATGTCTAGAGGACATCTCAAATGGCTTCACAGGTACTGACTGCTTTTGTGAGTGTGTTCTGACAGTGTTTCCGTGTTTTTAGGGCGGCATGTGGTATGGTGTGGACGTGACTAATGAGGACATCGCTGACAACTTCCAGGCGTGTGTGTGGGAGCCAGCCGTAGTCCGCATCAACGCTCTGACTGCAGCCTCAGAGGCCGCCTGCCTCATCCTGTCCGTGGATGAGACCATCAAGAACCCGCGCTCCACCGTGGACGGTCAGGCCGCCCCTAAGGGTCGCGGCAGAGGCCGGCCATTCCACTAGTGACCTCTCAGTAACCGGCCTCCCACCTGTCACTGCACAGTAACCTCAACTGAAGGTTTGTGTACTCTGGAGGTTGCTCCCACTGTCAAATTACCTGTTGTACATTCTTCCCAGGAGATAAAATGGTTTGCAAAGTGAACAAACACCAGAGTATGCACTCATATACACACAAGTATGCATAAACACACACTCATATACATACACTCAAAATATACATGTACACACACACACACATACATACTGTCCAGATCCTAGAAATGTCACACTGTACACTATTTATTTGGACTTGTTTTTGTTAAGGATGTGCCTGACGCCTGCCAGGAAATAAAGGTTGACTTTTGAAAATTATATGGTGGGTTTGTGGTTTGAGTTCGGGGATTGTGGCAAGAATGTGGTCTGTGTGACTGATTAGTTGTCACCGGAGCAGCCCAAGCGAGGGAGCTCCAGGGCCATTCTCCACTTGTCCAGAATGAGCACTATTCAACACAGAAGGAGCCCTTTAGTTACCGTTATGTGTATCGTCACGCTTTGTACTTGTGAGATTGCCATGTATCCCTCAATATTTTGCTTTCGCCTATAAAAAGCACAGTCACTCCTCTACAGTGGCTCCTATGAGCCCTTTCAGATGCCCTCCTGATGTGAAAGATGCCGTCTCAAATGTAAGGATTGTTTCTAACTGGCATGTGTGTCCCTGTTTTCCTGTCACTGCAAGGTGGGTGGAGAACATGGAACACGATCCGTGTGGCTGGCTGGCACACTACAAAATGGCTGTTTACACTATACAGTATATTCTGTGATGGGTTTTGAAACATCTTGACTGTGATAGGCACTTCATCAAATGCAAGGATTATTATTAATTTCAGGGCCCTCAGCTCACTGCTGATGTCACTTCCGGTGTGTTATACCAGGAATCGTCGCTGCTGTTGCTTTATGAAAGAAGTGATGTCAGCGCCGACCAAGAATTCAACCTTGTGGTGCTTTGTCATAATGTGAGTGTGAGACCCAGGTCACGATCTCCACTATAACCAGGGTCCAGTTTGTCAACAACAAATTACAATTCACCCAGCACTTTTCACACCAGAAGGACTGGACACTCAAGGATTTGGACCTGAGCTTGGGGTTGGAATCAGGAGTGGTGGAGGGCAGGGGTAGGAGGGTGACTAAAGGTGCGGTTGATGAGCCAGATTTTGAGACGGCCCTTGAAGGAAGCAAGGGAGGGGTCGAGGAGGAGAGGCTCTGGAATGGAGTTCCAGAGGGTGGAGCAGAGAGACTGATGGTGGGTGGGCCGGGTGGGGTACATGGTGCAGTCCGGAGGGAGTGCGTATGGGTTGGTATGGCGTTAGCAGGTCACAAAGGTGGGGCAGAGCCAAGGACGTGGACGGTTTTGAAAGCCAGGACAAGGATTTTGAACTCTAATCTCTAGGGATGGGGAATCAGTGGAGCTGAACATGGAGGCGGGTAGTAGGATCACAACCTTTTGCAGGAGAGGATGTGAGCTGGGAGAAATTCTGAATAATCTGCAGTTTGTGGAGGGAAGGGTTAGGAAGATCAGTGAACATAATCAACCCTGGATGTGATGAACACGTGGGTGAGGGTTTTGGTGGCCTGAGGGGAGAGGAAGTAGCGGAGCCGGTAATGCGGAGGTGGGGAAAGCAGAACGGATAATAACACGGATGTTGTGTAAGGATAGTTGAGAGTCAAACAAGACGCCAAGGTTCCCAACTGGCTCAGTGAGGTCGAGTGTGCAACCATGGATGGTGATGCTGCCAATGCCTGAGGTGAGGAGGCGCTGACAGGAGCCAATCAGGAGGGTCTCGGTCCTGTTGATATTCAACTGGAGAAAGTTAGCTTTCATCCAGGACTTAACGTCTGACAGACATTCTGTCAGGACAGCAGTGGTACTGGAGTTGAGGATGGATTCAGAGAGAGAGTTGGGTGTCATCCGCATACATGTGGAAGTTGATCCCACTTCAGTGGATGATGTCACCATGGGGGAGCATGTAGATATTGAAGAGGAGTGGACTAAGGACAGAGCCCTGAGGAATGCCAAACTTGACAGTGCAGGGGCTGGAGGAGAAGCTGTTTGTGGAGACAAAGTCGAGCGGTGCGAAAGGTAATAATAATAATAATAATAATCTTGCATTTGATATAGCGCTTTTCACGTCAGGAGGACGTCCCAAAGCACTTCACAGAACACACTGTAAAGTGAATTGACTGTATATTTGTGGGCGAACGCGGCAGCCAATTGCGCACAGCAATGTCCCACAAACAGTCGTAGAATGAAAATGACCAATTTATTATTGTTTTTGGTTTTGGAGGGATTATTATTAGGCTCTGTGTGGAGTAAGGAAACTTGCCCAAGGTTTCGCCCTGACCTGCCTGGAATTGAACTCAGGTCTCTCGCTTGCAAAGCGAGTGCTCTAACCACTGAGCTACAGGACTCCACGAGTAAGATTTGAACCAGTCAAGGACAGGACCATGAAGGTTGAGGTGAGAGGAGAGGCGGTTGCAGAGGATAGAATGATCGACAGTGTCAACGGCAGCAGATAGATCAAGGAGCACGACGAGACAAGAGGGAGCCCTCGTCACAGGCGGACCAAATGTTATTTGTGACTGACGAAAGCTGTCTGTGCTGTGGGCAGCACCGATCCTGATTGGAGGGGCTCGTAGAGAGAGTGGTGGGAGAGGAAGGAGCGAAGCTGGGAAGCAACGACTCGTTCCAGGACCAGGGAACAGAAAGGGAGGTCCAGTGAAGATTTTTGAGGATACGGATGATGATGGCTGTCTTTAAGGGGGTGGGAATGGTGCCAGTTGATAGGAAGAGGTTGATAATGTCTTAATAGAGGGTCAAAGGGGTGTAGCTGGGAATTAAGAAGAGGGTAGGGATGGGGTCGAGGGACAGGTGGCGGGCTTTATTTTGGATATGATGGAGGTGAAAGAAGAGGGGCACATTGCTGTGTGCAATTGGCTGCCAGGTTTCTCCCACAAAATACACAGTCACTATACTTTTGTATATTCTGTGAAGCGCTTTGCGACGTCTCAACGATAAGGCGCTATATCAAATGCAAGGATTGTTATTGAGATGAGCAATGTGGTGACATTTGTTCCACAAACCCTGGCCACTAGATGGCGCCATTGATACACAGGTCAGTCTGCAGTAGATGTTTCAGTCCATTGAAGAGGGAAATGGTAGCCATGTTCACTGAGATTATAATTAAAAGATGGGAAAGGGAAAGGTTATTGACCCATCAAGACACGACCTCCAGGCCACACAACCATCACCCACTCTCCGTCTCCCAAGGAAAGAAATTGTCCAGGTATTTCCTGATTTCCAAACTTAATCAAGCAAAACGTTTCACAATATTCATCCAATCGTTGCAGTCCCACTGCTCAGATCGGGCTTGCTTCACTGCAGACACCACATCTTGCCTCCCACAGTCCTGATAATAGTAATAATCTTTGCATTTGACATAGCGCCTCAACGTTGTTGAGCCATTTCAAAGCACTTTACAGAATATATTGTAAAGTGGACTTGATTTGTGAGCAAAATGCAGTAGCCAATTGCACACTAGACCGCTCGCCTTGCAAGTGAGAGACCTGGGTTCAATTCCTGGCAAGGCAAAATCTTGGGCAATTTTCCTTACTCCACACGCCTCGGTTTACCTAGCAGTAAGTAGGAACCTGGTTGTTAGTCAATTGGCGTATCAATTTTCCAGGGGTAATAATTCCTACAAAAAATAAATAAATTCGTCACTTCAATCCACGACTGTTTGTGGGACACTGCTGTGTGCATTTTTATCCACAAAATATAGTCACTACACTTTATATTCTGTGAAGAGCTTTAAGATGGCTCAAAGATGTCATACGGTGCTATATCAAATACAAGGATTATATATTATAAAAAAAGGAAATGACATGTGCGGAATCCCATCACCACGTGTAAGAGTCTCCGAACTGAGAATTCCTTGCATCCCACCTACACATGGAAATGCCATAGATAGATTGTTGGAATGGAATGCGCACTCTCTCCCTGAAGGGATGCATCCTGCTTACCGAATTCCGGAGAGTATTAGGTGCAGGTTGGCAAGAGCCAAGCCTTAGGGACAGCAGAGTGTAACTGTTGGAGTCTAACCAGCTAAAACTACATAGCCACTGATATTGCTGTCTGGCAAGCTTTCCCGCTGCTTGTCCTACCTATTCGGGCTTTGGCTTGCAGGGTTAACAGGAGCTGAATAGGAGGATTCCCTGCCCCCAGTCTGCCCTTCCAGGTCCTGCTGATGAGCTGGGCTGTGCTATCATCAAAGTGACCTGGAATACTGTGACCCTCCTGGCTCAGGAACCGGACTGGGGACCGTCACAAAAGGTGGGCTGGCTCTATTCCGACATTACGTTGTTATCTTGAAGCCAGTTCATTCCTGGGGAGACCCTGCTTACCACCCTCCCCTCCACCCACCCAAGGAGGATAGTCATTAAGAAGGACTTAATGTGCCTGACTGACCTACATCAAGTCCTAGATAAAGGCTTCTTCTTTTTACATTGCATTGATCTGATGTTTGAGTTTAATCCCCTGGCTCTGCAGCTTAATAAAATTAAACGTAAATTAAAATGCCAGGGCTCAGGAATCTGAGTTTGAAAAGTATGGAATTAAATCACAGAATGAAAACTAGTAGTGTGAATAAGTGCCCCCCAACCCTTGAGAGGATATACAACAACAAATCGTATTTATACAGTACCTTTCATGTCAGGAAGACGTGCCAAGGCTCTGGACATGCAAACACATATAACAACTTGCATTTATATAGTTCCCTTCACATGGGGTAGCGTCCCAGAGCGCTTAATGCATACACCATATTAACATATATACCGAATACCCCCAATATACAGTAAATATACACTGTATATTGCCAATATAACCAATTAGTAAAAACCAAAAGAGTTGCACAGGGATTGAACACTCCTAGTTTAGGCCATCTGGAGTCCCATAGTGTATTGGTTAGAGAAATCGCCTTGTAACTGAGAGGACCTTGGTTCGGATTCCCAGACAGGGCAAAACCTTAGGCAAGTTTCCTTATTCCACATCTCTCTGTCTAACCTAGCAGTCATTAGGAATCCAGTTGTTAGTTGATTGGCGGATCATTTTACCTTAAAAATAATAATCCCTTCAAAAAAGTTTGGTCACTCAATCCACGACTGTTTGTGGGATACTGCTATGCGCAATTGGCTGCCGAGTTTCGCCCACAAAATACAGTCACTCCATTTTACAATAAATTCTGTGAAGCGCTTTGAGACGTTTCGATGATGTGATAAGGCGCTGTATCAAATGCAAGGATAATTATATTTATATAGCA